CACAGTGTATGAACATAAATTTTGCAATGGACCTCATTAACATAAATGTTGCACACAGAAATAGTTGAAACATGTAAGCAAAACTGAACTGAAGAACAGAACTAAAGTATTATAAAAAGTTTGACAAATGCGAGTATTTCCTATATATGGCACAGCCAGGCATCTAGGTTGCTCTAGTAATAGAAGCGATAGACGGCAAAGAGCACCAGCAGCACAATCAATATGAATAGCTTAGATTTAAGTTTGTATTTGTTATCCAGTGTCTGCCACAAGCGAGCCAGTGCGTTGAGGGATGAGTCCTGTCCCTGGCGTAGAGAACGGCGTCCACCGGTAATGATGCTGCTGGCAGGTACGCTGCGCCTGTAACTGGAGCCACGCTCCCCAATCCGCTCGGCGCGCAGGCGCGCCAAATTGCGAGCAAAGTCGCTTTCAAATTTAACGCCCTGTCCATCCTCTTCAGCGGCATCATCGCTGAATTCGTTGCTGTAGGTGCGTGGCGGCGAGCGGCGTAAGCTGCTGCTGCTGTAGCCAAAGGCTGAGGATGATGCACTTGTGTAGCTCTGGGCGGGCGAGCTCACATAGTTGGAGTAACGGCCAGTTGCCGGGCGGTAATCATAGCTGTTGATGCTGCTTGTAGCACCTAGTGTGGCGCGTGGCTGGGTGGGACTGGGTGCATCCTCGTAGACCTGCTTGAGACGCTGTTGCTCCAACGGGTTGGGCTGCAGGCTGGGATACAGTGGCTTGGCCACATATTCATGAGTATTTACGGTGGTGGCCATCAGCTTGGACCTTGGCTTGGGTTTGCTGCCAATCTGTCTGTTGTGTTCACTGTACTGGTCCTCAGCATCCTGGGCAGCCTGGGCCAGTTGCTCCTCCTCCTCGTCATCGGACTCTAGAATGATCAATGAATTAACCAGCAAAGGTTCGTCGCTTTCACGCTGATTGGCTGGCACTGTGGGCTCCTCTGCAATTGGCTCCGGTTTGCGAGCGATCCGTTCTTTTGGCGGTTCACGTCGCTCCGAATTGGAAATGCGACGTGACTGTATAGGCGCAGCCTTGACCGGAACTGGTTTAACGACTGTAACGGCCTCCGGCACGGCTTGTGGCTTGCTCACTGGCTGCTGCTGCTGCTGACGACGACGTTCGTCCTCTTTGGTGTCGCTGGGATTGACGGCAATGGTGCGCCGTGCCTTACTTGCTACTGGGGCCCCGTCTGGTTTATCCACCTGTCCAGCAGTTGTACTAGCAGCAGCAACAGCTGCTGGCTGCAAGGTCTCGCGACGTGCGTTGCTCTTCTTCGGACTGCCTGCCGGCAAGGCGGCGTTGCCGCCCAGTGAGGCGCGTAAACGTTTCACCAACACCTTACGGCTGCTATCTGTGACTGGTATATTCGGCAATCCCTGGGCCAGCATCCGTGCACGCAGTTCGGCGTTAGACAAATTGTCCAAATTATCAGTCTCAGCCATAATTTTTGTTGCCAAACACGCTTTTCACAATTCGTTGAAATTGAAAGCAGTTGCGCGTCACTTTTTTGCGCGGTGCGATGTTAGTTAGCGATGTGCGATAAGCGTAAATAATCGATTAATTTATGAATATTTGCACACAATGAACTCGCGTTTCCTTTTATTGATTGTTTGAAGCACTACAGATTCTGTAAGATTTTTTTTAATTTTTGCTTTTACAATTTTTTTTGTAGCTGTATAGAAACTGGTTTTTATAAATTTGAAAGCAAAGTCTGTATATTGTATACAGATGTGGCAGCGCTGCTAGATTTGAGTGCTGAGTAGCTCCAAATTTTAGTTACTTTTCAACACTATTTCAATGGTGTCAATAGAAAGTCAAATAACAAACATTTTAATTCAATTCTCGCGCCTTGCATTGCGAAAGCTTCAATTGGTCCAATTAATCAATTGGACATTTGCTTTAGCCAAATAATCCTATCATGGGCGGCGATAATCAAAATATTCAGTAATTGGACGCAGCTTAGCTAAAATACGATTGGCACTCGCAAAATTTAAAAACATTTTGTAGCAGACTTTTAGGCATAAGTTTAAAGACATTTATGCTACATTGCCAGCTTGACCAAAAGCCCTTGTTTAATTAGATTTTTGCCAAGCGATTTGTATAGTTTACTAAATTTACTTCTAATTTATATCACTTCTCTGTCAGACTGCACAGAGATGCACAATAGTTCAAGAAAACGGCTTATACTTCGACCAGGGCTGCTAGAATGTCACTGAGAAAAAATGCATTTGGTGATCTGGCAGCACTGGCAGTTTTTCTGTGTTGCTTTACATCGCTAAGAGAGCTAGGACAAGTAAATGCAAAACAAACGTAAATAAGACTAAATCTCGCTGCTAAAAAAACAGGAGATAATTCAAACTTGGCTGCCTATGCTTGGAGAGTCCACGTAGACGTTATTTAGCATACACAATGGACATATCGAAGGCACCAAACCCACGCAAACTACAGCTCTGCCGCATCTACTTTCTGAGTATGACTAAATTCTCTCTCCCTCCATCTCTCGCCCACTCACTCTCAAAAAAAAACTTTACTTTTAGCTGGCTTCGCTTTTCTGCCCTTCGTGTGGGCCGTAAATGTTTGCTGGTTCTTTGAAGAGGCGTTTCGCAAGCCGCCATACACCGAACAGACTCAAATAAAGCGCTGTAAATGAGTGAATGGCATGCATTATATATACCCTGAGTTATCTTATTTCTCCTTTGCAGATGTGATATACTCAGCTATAGGGACATTCATCTGGACAATTGCACTGATCACCTGGGTTATTCTATTCCAAGCGAATCGTGCGGCTTGGGGTGCCACCGCCGACTATATTAGCTTTATCATTCCATTAGGGGTCCCATGATCTTGAGTCGAGTCTAATTAATGGTATTAAAACTAACAAATTGATATTAAACTAAATAAATGAAAACACAATATACAAAATATGTTTATAGAGAACACCCAAATCACTTTTTAAATACATTTTTTATTCACATCTAAAGCTTATTTTTTGTTATATATATTTATATATATATATATATCAATATATGTGTACTATACTCTTGAAATTCTCTTACACACTAATTATGTGTTAATTCTTCTTCATAATTTGTAATAATTTTGTTTTGAATGCGCGAATTCGTTTCATTTTCTTGTTGTATCTTGTTTTCACTTCCGTTTCCGCTTCGTTCACGGCTTCCGGCTGTCTTGATATAACATACAATTTCATTGTTTTAGAATGTCATAAAGTGTTGTTTGCTCTTGTTATTTGCTCGATTTTTAAAAATACATAAATATTTGTTTGTTAAAAATGTCTGCGCTTGTACCATTTTGAATATTCAACTAATCTGATGTCAGTTTTCGTTTACGTTTACGTTTTATATCCTTTGTTAATTAATGTCGTCACTACGCTGATTGCACTACGAACGAGTGAATTGAATTGTTGCGATGATTGCGAAATTACGAAGTGAAAATGCAATGTGGGGAGACAAATCTAACACGCACACACATACATAATTAATTTTGTTTTTTCCTCAATTGCCTGTGAGTTCCCAATGGTATATGTGGCCCTAGTGTCACACACATGTCACATATCAATTAATCAATCAATCAATTTCATCAATCAGGGAATCGCAACTAATTTACAATTTATAAAAAGTCTCGATTTAAGTTATATTTACATGCAATACTTATTTGTTTTTCACTTGTTGATTGATAAATTCTAAAGAATCGTTTTTTTTTTGCTTTCATAGTTTTTAGTTTGTTTTCTTTAATATAAAACATTAAGTGCCATTTAATCACGCGTGTAGTCTATGATGAAGCGGCTAGTGAGCTCTACAACAAACAGAACATTCAACTTCTGCTCCACACTTTACATTCACAATCTAGTTAATTTATATTTATATATAAATGTAAATTACACATATATCATATAGTAATAATCATAATCATAATAATAATAATAATAATTATATTTTCATCATATCATACACATACATTTATATATATATTTTTTTATATATATAGTATAAATATTTCAAAGTACACGCTTAGAAACATCTAAATGATTCACAAAACTAAAATAATTTTTACCTTTTGTTTGTTTGTGTTTTTTTTTTTCAGGGTTTTTCTGCTTTTGTTTAGTTTTCTCTGAGGAGAAACTACTGGATACGAATAGTACACACATACATATACATATACAATATATATAAGTTATAGAAGAATGGGCGCGCCCTTTGTCTTTTAGATGCAAATGTCGCGCTGGCTCCATTCGCAACACAGATAAGGATTAATTAATACACGATGCTAAATGCTAAATTGTAAGTGCTACGGTTTTGTTGATTTTTCCTTTTTTTTTTTTTTTTTTTTTTGTAATTGGTAAACTGTAAACGGTAATTGGTAATTGGTAATCGATAATCGATAATAATTCGTTAAACAATATGCATTAATATTAATTATATAAATTTTTGTTTCTTTTTGTTTTGTTTTGTTTTGTTTTTTACAAGAAATCAACACTACAGCAGAATTTTGCTTTTACTTCTCTTTTTGTTTTGCTATGTTTTCTTTTGTTCATGTTCGATTTACGCCTCTCTCGTATAATATATATATACTATAATTATATTATGTTTTGTTTAATATGTATATATATATATGCAAAATACACTTAGGAAAAACATTGTTAATTTGTAGTTTATGCTATATAATTATATCATATTTTGTATGTACTCTAGAAATATATTCATATACATATACATACATATCTATAGATATATGCATATATAATGTTGTTTGTTTTTTCGTTTTTTCTTGTATCTGGTAATAGTAGTGATAACTTAGGGCTTAAACTAAATCTTTATAGTTAACACGTTAAACGAAACATACAAAAAATACTTATAAATATAAATAGTCGATTTCTGTTGTAGTTGCTTTTGTTGCTCTTGTTGTTTAAGTTGGGGTGCTTGGGACTGTTGTTGTTGTTGTTATTGTTGTTTTGTAACGTTTGTAAAAATATTAAATATATATTCTTTATTTATATGCTATATATGATTTATGTGCGCACGCCCAGGGCTAATAGCAAATGCATTTGGGTATTTATCAACCACTGCCTCTTCCAGTTTCGTTCTCGATCTCCAACTCGATCCGCATTCGGATCCCATTCCAGCATTCCGCTAGTTGTTCTTCACATTGTAGGCCTTCTTCTCGTTGCTGCCGTTCAGTTGTTCTCATTTTGTCGGACCCGGCGGAAATGGATTTATCACAGCTACTGCAGCCGCTTGTTGGCTGGCCAAAACGGCCGCTAAAAGCAAGCAACAATCATGAGCAACTGTGTCTTTTGGAACAGATTGAAACCCCGCTGAGCCCATCTTAACCCACTACTCACCTCCATAGGGCGCCGTGTACATGGGATAGCCGAGGCCGACGTGCGTATGATGGTGTGTGTGCACATGTCGCTGCGGCGGCGGACTGCGCGAATCGGCGGCACCAGCACCACCAGCAGCACCATTGCCAGCACCGCCGCCGGCCACTCCTACAGCTCCATTGCCAGCGGGGCCGGCACCGATGGGCGGTGCACCAGGTAGCGGCTGCTTGTGGGCATCGAGTGCTGCGCCGGGCGCCACGCCATGCGATTTTTGGCCAGCCATGTCGGGTTTGTTGGACGGCGGGCCGCCTAGGCTGCCGGGCGGTGGCTGCAGATTCAGTGGAACACCGCCTGCACTGCCTGGCGCCGTGCCTGGCGGATTGGGACCTGGGCCGCCCAGCACGCTGGGTCCAGAGCCGGGCCCACCGTTGCCGGGTCCGCCGCCCGGTTGCGGCAGACCCAAGCTGGGGCTGCTGACGCTGACCTTGACCGGTCCGCTGGCGCTGGTGGGAGATTTGAGTGCACGTTCGCTCAGCTCATGGATCTTGTGCGTGGTGTAGTACTGGCTGGCCGCATGATGCAGTGCGTCCAGCGCCTTGGTGCCCGTATTTCGCGACAGATCCTCGGGCGCATGATAGCGCGTTATGGGCAAATGATACGGCGGCGTATTGTATGGCCCAGCTGCGGACATCAGCACATTGCGGTACATCGGATGATTGGGATCGAAGCCAAATGGCGAAGGCGAAATGTACGAGGGATGCAGAAAGTATTGCGATGTAGGCGGTGGCGGCGGACCTTGCGTTTCCATGGTAGGTTTCTGGCCCTCCTGCTTCACCTTCAGCTGCTGCTGCTGCTGATCATCGTCGGCGGCGCTGTTGCCCTTCTGTTTGGGCGAATCCTTGGTCAGGTTGGTTGCCTTGTTATTGGCTGCCGCATTGGCTTGCGATTGCTTAAGCTTCTGTTGTTGCTGTTGCTGTTGCTGCTGTTGTTGTTGCTGCTGCTGTTGCTGTTGTTGCTGCTGTTGCTGTTGTTGCTGCTGCTGCTGTTGTTGCTGCTGCTGTTGCGCCTGCTGTTGCTGCTGCTGCTGGTGTTGCTGCTGCGCCTGCTGCTGCATATGCTGGTGATGCTGTTGCAACGCTTGCTGCTGATGTGCTAGCGATAGTTGCTGTTGTTGCTGTTGCTGCTGCTGCTGCTGTTGTTGTTGTTGTTGCTGCTGCTGTTGCGAGCTTAAGCTGGACTCATCTTTATGCTGGGGCGGCATTCCAGGATGCGGTTGCATGCCGGAAGCATTCTGTGCCGCGGCAACAGCTGCAGCATTCTGACGCCGCTGCTGATCCGAGAACATATAGTAGCTGCCAACGAGATGAACAAGATTATAAATATATACACCAACTAAAAGTTTCATCTGGAATTTACCGTCGCAGCTCATCCTCGCGCGCTGCTGCCGCCAGGCTCATGGAATGACGCTGATAGATGCTTGGATGATAAGCGCCCAGCGCCTGCAGATCCTTTGGATGCAGTGCATGTGGCTGCTGTGGCTGTGGCGGTGGCTGCTGTTGTTGCTGCTGCTGCTGTTGCTGCTGCTGTTGTTGTTGCTGCTGCTGCTGATGCGTTGGCGGCGGTGGCTGCTGATTGGGTTCCTGTTTGATCTCTTGCTTGATCATTGGCTCCTGTTTGATTAGCTTGTTGCTCAGCAGCTGCAAGAGAGAATAGCCTTTAGTATTTTCTGTAACCGGCAACACCTGAGCTGCATTTACCTGCTGCTGTGGCGGCATATGCTTGGGGTTATCATGCGGGCTGGGACTCTCCTTGGTGCGCTCCTCCTTGATGCTAATGCCGGCGAGCTGCTGCTGATGCTGTTGTTGTGCCTGCGAACTGGGTGGCAAGCCAGGATGACCGCCCAGCTTGGCGGCCTCCTCGGAGGCCACAATCGAAACGGGTCCAAAGTTGGGATCTACGCTGTAAGGATAGCCCGGCGGTATGAAGCTGCAAAGATAGAAGAAGTTTTGATATTAAAGGTAAGCTCTCTAGTTAAGCCTTAATGTTTAGCTTACTTGTAGGGATAGAAATGTCCCAGAGCCTTGGCAGGCGATGGTCCGCCTAGACCAGCTAGCCCAGCGATACCAGGCGGCAGACCGCCAGGTGGTCCAGCCACAGCGCTGAGATTAACCGGCGGCGGTTGCACCGGTGCCGGCTGCGATGGGGGTGGACCGTTGTCCTTGCCATTGTTGTCGGGCTGCTGCTGTTGCTGCTGCTGAGGTGGGCCACTTGGCTGTGATGGTGGCTTTGTCATCAGGTCCAATGGCGGCTCCTTGTTCTTGTTGCTGTAGTCGGTCAGATGGCCGACAGCCTGCTGGGCGGGCGGCGCCAACAGATGCGACTGTGGCGTCTGTGAGGTAGCTGGCGGTGCCCCCGGCTGTTGCAGTTGCTGCTTGCCTGGTTGCAGTGCCTCCGGACCGGGTTGCACCATGTACTGTGGCTGCGGTTGCTGTGGCAGCGGCGGTGGTTGCAATTGCTGTTGTTGCTGCTGCTGTTGTTGCTGTTGCTGCTGTTGTTGTTGCTGCTGCTGCTGCTGCTGCTGTGCCGCCGGATAGAACTGATACATGCCATAGCCGGCCAACGAGGGCGGTATATTGGGCGTTGGCGCTGGTGGCACGCCCACCTCGCTGGGTTTCTTGCCAAGCAGCTCAATATGCTTGACCGGCTGCGATTTGTCCAGCGGCTCTGGCTCCGCAACGGGCGTGGAGTCATCCGAGATATCACTGTACGCTGGACTCTGCACATCCTCGCGCGAAACACTGCCATCGAAATCGCCCGGAGCAGGCGATTTCCTGTTCTTCTTCTGCTTGCTGCTGGCGCCCACCGAAGCAGGCCCAAAGCCAGGCGAGCTCTTCAACCCTGGCGGCGGCTGCTGTTGCTGTTGTGGCACATAGCCACCGGCGGGTGGCTGTTGTGGATCCTGCGACAGACTGGGCGGACGCAGTGGACTCTGTCCAGGCGGCGACTGCTGCGTGTTCACGCCAGGCGGCGGCTGTTGCTGCTGCTGTTGTTGTTGCTGCAAAGCTGCCGCATCAGGCGGACCGAAGCGTAAGACGCCCGCTTTTACTGCAAGTGCGAAAAAAAAGGAATTTTAATTTCGAAATGGAAAACCGCATCCTTATATAATCTAGCTTCAACTTACATGCTCCCTGCTGTAGCAGCGCCTGCTGCTGCTGCTCGGATAGCATTGCCGGCAGTCCGGCGCCGACGAGTCCGCCCAGCAGCTGATGCTGGGACAGCGCCTGTGTGGAGATGCCGGCCGTGATGCTGCCGCCTGCAATGGGTTGGCTGCCAGGCATGCCACCGGGTGGCAACACTGCTGCTGGCTGCGCTTGTGTGGGCGTTGCTGGCGGTGGCTGTGGCACGGCTGCTGCTGTGACAACCAGCGGCAACACTGGCAATGGTGCCGCCACACCAGCAACAGCAGCAACAGCCGCTGCAGCAGCAGCAGCAGCAGCTACTGGATCTGTGGCTGCGCCTGCAGCAGCTGGCAATGCAGTGCCATTTGCTGTTGCGCCGTTTGCCTCTGCTGCTGCCGCTACCGCTGCTGCTGCCGTAGTAGCAACAGGCACTGCCGCTGCTGTTGCTGCTACTGCTGCGGCTGCGGCTGAAGGCGATACTGCTGTTGGTGCTGTGGCTGGTGGTGCTGTTGGTGTGGCTGCTCCATTAGCGGCAACTGTTGGAGTCGCCGCTGCCGCCGCCGCCGCTGCTGCTGCTGCTGCTGCTGCCACTGCTGGCAGCGGCGATGGCGGCGTTGCTGGCTCATCGGGCGCCTGCATGGAGTCCTCGTCCATGGAGCTGACACCGCCGCCGCCGCTGCTGCTGCCGCTGGCGCCGTGCGCATGCGACTGATGGTAGCGCAGCCCGTTGGCGTGCTTGTACTTCTTGCTGCAGTCCTGCTCGGGGCACTCGAGCAGCACCGGTGAGATCGCGCAGGGCGAGGCAGTCTTACATTTCTTTGTGTTGATTTGCACATTGAGTCCGGTCACTGGATTGAGCAGGCTCTGCGGCTGGGTGGCCAGGCCACCGCCGCTGGCCGAGATGGGAATGCCGCTGGCATTCACCATGCTCACCATGCCTCCGGCACCGTCGCCGGCCTCGCCGTTGAGCGGTGATGGCGCCTCGTCCTTCGACTTGCGTTTCTCGGGCCGCGGCGGCAGAAATGCTGTAGGTGAGGTGCTGGGCGTGGCACCACCACCGCCTCCATTGCCCGACGAGCTGCCGCTATTGGTCGCATTGCCAGTGGCGCTGCGCGTCGCACCGCGTCCCTTGGTGGCGCCATTGCGCAGCTTCGAGTGCACCTGGGCATGCGAGAAGTAGATCTGAGAGAGCAGAGGAGAGGGGAGGATTAGGTTAGCCAATTGATCTGGATTAATGGTACTCACCGAGCTTCTGGTTTCGGTAAAGTTGCTCAGATCGGGCGTCAGACCTGCGCTGCGTCCGCGCTTGCCGCGTCCCTTTGGAGTACGAGAATCTAATTCTTCAGTTGGTGAATCACAGAATCTGCAAGGCGTAAGAATGAGCATAAAGTGAGGTTAGAGCACAACAAACTTTACTTGAGTAGAAGTTGAGATAATGTGGGGACTTTTTAATCAAATTTAATTATGTAAACATGTAATCTGATTCCTCCATATATATAGAATTTTAATCAAATCAAATCAAAATTTATGATTTATATAAAAATCTCTATGGGGCATGCCTAGCTATGATTACAGATTACAATCTTGAAATCGAAAACCCCCCAAGATTTATTCAACAACCTTTAGTATTCGAATAAAATATTATGATAGATTATTACATACTAAAAAGTTCTTTGGTAGAATTCTTACTGATGAAATGATTCCATCAAAATATTGTGTTTGTAATCCTAAACACGTAAAATATATAAAATATATATCAACATTATATATATATAAAACTGCCAACCCTATACAAATATTATTTAGCTCTTTAATAGAGTAAATAAATAATATTTAACACTTTAAACACGAAAAATAATGCCCTATAGAAAAATCTCTATTATTATATTCCTCTTCAAACTGTTTGCTAAATGCAAAAATCTCTCCAAATCAAAAATTTTTAGAAACAAAAAAAAAATGTCCAAAAGTAGGTTTTACAAAAAGGCATCTTTATTTTTGCATTAACAGTTTGAGGGCGAATGTAGCTAGCAGGGAGTGGCAGTGGGAGTGGCAGTTGCTAAGGATTAGGATTAGGAGCGGTAGCAAAGGAGGTTACTCGAATGCAGCTACTCACCTTGGAGGAGCCCAATCGTGTCGGGTGCAATCGAGCAGGGTGCCCACATAGGTCTTGCCGCGCCACGTCACATTCACGACGAGCACGCCGCCCTCGGTCTCGTGCCACACGATGCCCTCGAGGGTGACCGAGGTGCCGGGCTCGCAGGGGCCGAGGCAGTCCGGCTCGGTGATGGTGCCCACCGAGGTGCCAATGCAGATGTCGACCATGTCCTTGCTGTTGTCGCTATGCTTGGCACGTTTGGCAGGCGGCGATGAGCTCCCCTCATCGGCGGCACCACCACCACCACCGCCGACACCGCCGCTGTTGCTGCTGCTGGCGGGCACCGAAATCGTGTGGTGCATGGTGGCTGAGATCATGCCGGGCGCCATTAGCTTGGCCTGTGCCAGGCTGGCCGCCTTGCTGTCAGCATTGCTGCCTGCGACGGCATTTGCGGCACTTGCACCGCCCGCCGCAGCTGAAACACTCTGGCTGCCCGTGTAGTTGTTGCTGTTGTTGTTGTTGTTGCCGCTGCTGCTGTTGCTGGCATTGCTGTTGCTGCCACCGCTGGATGATGCAGCCGCTGCGGCCAGCTGTGCGGCAATGTGTGAGGATATCTTAATGCTTGCATCCTTGCCCGGCGGCCCAGGCGCATTGGCAGCGCCAGCATTCAAGCCGCTGCCGCTGCCATTGCCCGCAGCTGACTGCGAGGCATTGCTGGCCGCTGTTGTGGCAGCCAGCAGCGAGGCGGCCGCCGAGACCACAGCAGCCGGCGAGCCGGCAGAGGGCGTAAATACGCCGGGCGGCACAGCCGTGGCTGTGGCATTGTTGCTGCCGTTGTTGTTGCCCATGCTGCGGCGTATGCAGGCATGATGTGAACACGGCGGCGCTGAGCCCGCAGCAACATCTCCATTGCACTGGCAATTGTTGCTGTTGCTGGTGCTGTTGTTATTGTTGTTGTTGTTGTTGCTGCTGCTGCTGTTGCTATTGCTGTTGCTGTTGCTGGCGTTCTTTTCGGGCGTGTCTTTTTCACCAGCTGCCGACGCAGCTGACTTGTCTACGCTGAGGCGATTGGAATGTGCGTTCTTATCCTTTGTCTTCTCGCGCCTATGCCCAGAGCTCCCTCGCTTGTTGCCCTGCGGCGTTGACTGTGCGTTGTTGTTGCTGCTGCTGCTGCTACTGCTGTTGCTGCCGTGCGTATTATTTGGATTGGCATTGCTGTTGCTACTGTTGTTGTTATTGTTGCTGTTGTTGTTGCTGCCGCTACTGCTGCTGCTGCTGGAATTGTTGAGATGTTTTTTGCTGCTGCTGCCGCTGCTGCTGCTGCTGTTCGAGCCGGAAGAGTTGCCCGAGTTGTTGTTGCCGCTGCTGCTGCTGCTTGAATTGTTGCTGAGGGAAGACGCATTGGCATTGCTGCTGTTGCTACTGCTGCTGCCGCCACCAGCACCGCCCCCACCGCCGCCGCTACTGCTGCTGCTGCTGGTGCTGCTGCTGCCGCCATCCTCCTGCTGGCTGCTGCTGTTCGAGCTGCTGTTGCCCAGCGCACCGTTCTGCTGCTGCTGTTGATCTGTGGCCTTGACTATTTCGTGTTTGGCCTCGGAACTTTTGGTGCCGGGCTTCGTGCGTTTGATCTTCATTTTGAGTCCTTTATCGAGCGTTGCCTGATGATCAATGGACATTTTTGCGCTCGATTTACCGCTGCCGCTTTGCGAACCTTGGCCACCGACTGTGGCGCCACCAATTGTGTTGCTGCCTATGCTGCTGCTGTTGTTGTTCCCGCTGCTGCTATTGTTGCTGCTGCTGTTGCCGCTGCCGCTGTTGTTGTTGCTAGTGTTGCTGCCTGCCTGCGAGGACATACCGCCAGCGGAGAGTTTAGCTTGCTGCTGACCGCTGCCGCTGCCGCCGCCGCTACTGCTGCCGCTGCTGCTGCTGCTGCTGCCGCCTGCTGTAGTGGAAGACTGACTGACGCAGGAAGAGACCAAATTGCCGCCTTTGGAGAAGCCGGCAAATGTCGAGGAGGACAATGTGCTGCCGGTGCCTGCGTTGGCTGCGCTGCTGCTGCTGCTGCTGTTTGTGTTGTTGATGTTGTTGTGGCTGCTGCTGCTGCTGCTGGTGTTGTTGTTTTTTGTTTGTTGATGATTGTTGTTGTTGTTGTGATTGAGACCAGGGCTGTTTAGCTGTGCCACTAATGCTGATTTGTAGCCCTTGCTAGCTGTGCTATGATGATGATGATGATGGTGATGGTGGTGATGATGATGTTTGCCCGTGGAAGAGGACGATCCCTTGCTACTAGATAGCACAGCTGAGCTGTTGGTGCTACTGCTGTTGTTGTTGCTGTTGCTAGTGTTGCTACTAGCTGCTATTGCCGCTGCTGGCGTTGCGTTGGCGCTGCCGCTGCTGGCAATGGGCTGGCGTGTGAACTTAATTGTGGTTGGCGATGTGGCCGACAAATTGCTATGCAATGTGGTCTTGTGCGATTTGTGAGCTGCCGCTGCTGCTGCTGCTGCCGCTGCTGTTGATAATGAGGATGCTGCTGCTGTGCTGTTTGCTTGTTTAGCATTTAGCGTTGTCGTTGTTGTTGATGTTACTGCTGCTGCTGCTGCTGGAGTTGTTGGTGTTGCAGTCGTTTGGTTGCCACCACCCGAATGCTCCGCCGACTTTTCGATGTCAGCGTCTAGATCGTCCAGCAGTTCTGGTATGCCGCCAATATTCCACTCGTCCTCGTACTCAAAGTTTGTGTCCTTTGATTCACTTGAATTTGATGCGCTGCTGCTGCTGCTACTGGCCGACGCTGTTGAGTTGTTTGCTGTCGTTGTATTTCCAGCGTTTGCTTTGCTAGCGCCAATCAATTCTGGATACGGAGTAAAATCAAAGACGAACGAGAGAGAGTGAAATATATTAAAAATATTGAATTTTTCCAAACAAAATGTGTTGCAACTCTACTGAATTCCTAAAAAAATGCTTACCGCGTCAAATTCTACTCTCTTTACTGCCTACAAGAGCTCAAGAGTATGGAAGACTAATAATAACACTATGTATGTATGTATGCTACTCGCGCTCTCTCTCTCTCTCTTTAAGCTGCTTTCGATCGGCATTGGAAGTGATAGAGCCTGGAAGAAAATTGTAGAGAGCGCAACGCCAGCTGTTTCTAGCCGATTGTCATTCAAAAGGCACTCTAACACGTTTGCATAGCAAATCTCTAAACTGCACTCATAGCTAAAACTGCTGAATTGAGCATTTTTGCAATTCCAATCAAAAGTTATTCCCAGTGATCTATCATCATAGCTCACGCTTTAATTTCGCTCTTTTTTTCGTGCACACACAATTGATTTCCAGTTGCATTTTGCACTAGGTATGCATACACACACATATATGTATGTACGCATACACACATACACATGTATATGCATACATGTATGGGCATATACATACATACATATGTAATTGTGTGCTCTACTTACTCGTATGCTTCTTAATCGCACTGTTGCCTTGCAAATTATTCGTTGCTGTTGTTGCCTTCACTTTGTTATTGAAATTCAATGCTTGGTTTGTGGCTGCCGTTGTCGTTGCTGCTGCCGCTGTTGTTGTTGCTGCTGCTGTTGTTGTTGTAGCCGCTATTCCTGCTGCTATCGTTGTTGTTGCGTTTGCCGCACTTAAATTAGCTAACAATTTACTCTTAATATTGCTTTCCGTTGCTACGTTGCTGCTATTCAGGGCCACCTGCAAGAGACAAGACCATAAGAAAATAATAAAAATTAATATAATCCAAATATATGTATGTGTATGTGTGTATGTATACGACAGAGTAGATTTTCGAATCTCAAAAAGTACATACAATGCACAAAAAAAAAATATAAAACACAAATTAATGTGGAATGGGAATATTTTGTGCTGCTTGCTGCCTATGCCGTCGTTTTCTTCTTCTGCTTCTTCATGTTCTTTTTCTTTATTACCGTTTCAAGCGATTTTTCCATTCCATAACAGGCGGCCAAATATGATCAAATCCAATTGCAAACGATTTGTTATACATTTAAATTGAACAAATTAAATATTTTTAAATAAATAATAATAATAATAAAGAAAACGCCGAAAATGCTTTGCGCGAGCGTTCTCCAGCGTCCTTTTTCGTATGGCAGCGCGGCGACGCAGATGAGACTGAACACAAAAAAAAAAAAAAAGAGCTCAAAGAGCAACCACCGAAAACGGCACGCACGCAAGCACACTGACACAATACACACAAGAAAAACACACGCATACATTGCCACAAAATTAAACGGGAGAGTAAGCGTGAGAGAGAGAGCGAACGAGCGAGAGCGGCAAGCGCATAAACAAAAACGCCACTTTAATGCAAGTGTTGGTAAACGACATACAAAATATATAGTTCCTATGCGATTGCTGTTGTTGTTGTAGTTGTAGTTGGTTTTGTATGATTTACCCCAGTCCCATTCCATGCTCGTTCAATAATAAAGAAAGACAGCTTTAAGTAATTGCGATTATATTTTGCTCAAGCCAATAAATCAAACATCACCAATTTTAAGCTACCGCTGCGGCCATAAAAACAAGCAACGAAAAAAAAACCAGATTGTCCAACACACACACACACTCACGCATAGTAATGTCTGTACGTTAGAAAAAGTACTTTGTAGTATTTCGTATTATATTTTTTTTATTTGTATTTTTTTTTTTTTTTTCGCTATCGTCATATTTTCACTTTATCTGCTAACTGTAAAGTCTAGTGGCCACTTGAGAAACCGCACCACTTGAGGACCAGGCCAAGCGAAACAGATGACAATAAAATAATTACGGCTCTTATCGCATTTAGTAGTAGTCGGGTTATTTGGGCGGGGTGGTTGGGATGTTGAGATGTTGGGTTTGCTACATGCCACTTACTTACCTTATTCGGGTGGTGGCTAGTGTTCGCCTCGTTACGTCTCATTGACTCCATGCAGACGCAAACGATCGGGCGGCCGCACTGTGCGGGCCCAAAGTACTGCCAATTGTGCCTAGGAACGTACTTTTTAGTGTGTTGCAGCCAGTGTTGCTGATCTTCTGCGTGTTGATGCTTTTATTCTTGTAGTAGCTATTGTTGATGTTGCACTGCTGCCGCACTGTCGCGTAGAGGGTGGAGACGCAGGGCCTCGGCCCTCGGGCCAAACTGTTCATTTTCAAAACTGCAATGACAGAAAAAAACAAGCGAAAAATTAGTATTGAAGAGCGTGAGTAAGAAGCTGCACAAACACAAATACACCCATACACACGCATATACACACACAATTAATATATCGCTATAAATAAAACATGCAGAGTAAAGTGATAAAGAAAATAAAACAAAAATACATAAATAACAATTTTGTTGCCTTTAAAGTTTGGCGGCCTTTCGAGTTTCGCGATTAACGCTGCCCGCCCTCTTATCGATCTCTCTGTCTCATCCTCTCTTCGTCCGGCACCCTCCCTTTCTCGCTCTCTGTCTCTCTCTTTCTGATTCTCTGTCGTGGTCTTGCTCGGTATAGCTGCACTGAGGCAGTGATTTGCCGTTGGAACTGCACTTGGCAGACACCTTAACGACTTGGCAATTAAAACACTTTTCGCAATTTACTGATAACCCACTCAAGTGCTTGAAATATGATTTGGGTTAACATGTTGCCGTTGCCCGAGCACACACGGTAGCTGATTTCTGATAAGATAACGTGATAGCGCAGACAGCAAGCAGAGCCCAGCCAAATAACTATTTGTCACACAACAGAAATATGTAGACAAAAAAAAAAAAAAAAGAAAACCAAATTATGCTCAAGCTTATCGAAATATTCAACAGAAGACAGAGAGGGACAGCAAGAGGGAGAACGCACGTTAGCTAGGCGAAGAGAGTGAGTGCGTTCGTTGTTGTTGCCATGACGTCATCGGAGAGAGGCGGCGCTCAGTAATTAAGTCGTTGTGTGTTGTCAACTTGTCACTTAAAACTGCTCACTCTCTTAGTGGCTGCTTATTAAGACGTACTTAAATATACACATTGACAACTAAGCACATGTATAGGTGGGTGCGACTGTCTGCATGCTCTTGTGTGTGTGTGTGTGTGTGTGTGTGTCTGTGAGAGTGCGAGTGTGACTGTGTGCACTTGTACAAGTTGTGAGCAGCTAATCGCTATTTAGTTCCCTCTTTGCGCGTCCACATAAGCCGCTTTGTCACACACTAAAAGCAGACACCACACGTGGATTATCGCTGTGTGTGTGTGTGAGTATAAGCCTCTGTCTGCTGTGTGTATAAGAGCGCATTGTGCTTTATGGTTATACTATCTATGACAGTGCCACAAATTGGGTCGCAACTTCCAACACTTTATGATCGTCATAACTCCCACGCTGTCTTCCATCAAATGGAATATATATACATATATACACACACACACACGTGCATGCTTGAACGGGAAAGTCTGCGGATTATTTTGTTGTTTTTTGCTTCTCTTTTATTTAAGCTCAGTCAAAAAAAAAAAAAAAAAAAAAAAAAAAAAACGAGGCAAGCAATTAAATTTGCATGTGGTTAGCATTTTTTTACGATAATTAAGTGAAGCAAACACAATGTATGTGTGTGTGTGTGTGATTTTTTTTCCAATGTGGGCCGCTATTTTGTTTGCCATTTATTTGTTATTATTATTGTCGTTGCTGTTGTTGGCTTTTGTAATTCTGCCTTTTAATATGGATATTTAATTAATTGAGTTGTTGCTTTTTATTGCCATTATTAAAAAAGTGCCCACGCATATCAATAATTGGATAGACATCTGTGTGTGTGTGTGTGTGTTGTCTATGTTATGAGTGCTTCGTGATGGTTGTCAAGATTTAATAGACCTACGCCTGATGTGAACTTAATAGATATAATAATAGATATAATAATGTAGATAGATAAAATAATAATATAGTTATGTATATGTATCCTGCATTAGCGGAACCGGTTTAAGTCACTTTCTCACTTCACTTTTTAGGGTTACTTTTTTTTTTTGTGAGGTAATACTATAAATAGGTATTCTGTTATAATTTTGGTGATATGTTAATTGCACGCAACAGTCAGGTTTATACGTAGTACTTCATCGTCATTTTGTCTTCGTGTTAATTTCGTCACCTTCTTTATCACTCTTATAAAAGTGTCCTGCAATCGTTGAATACTTTAATATTGAAGCGCCCATTGGGAAGCTGATTGCAATGCTCAGTGATTAACGTCACGTGCAGTGCGGGTGGTCGGCTGTGTGGTATGCAGCATGCAGCATGTGGCATGTGGCCATGTGGCATGTGGCATGCGACGTGCCAAAACGCGTTAAGTGCTATTGCAGCAGCCATAACAAACAACAAACAACAAACGAGAGCCGATTGAAACACTCCATAATTTAGACAAATCAATAAATTACTAATAGCCGCCGTTCGACAACGAATTCGGCTAAAGATTGCCAACGGGGCGAATGTGGCAGCCGGGGCGCAGGGGGCGTGCCAGAGGAAGAGCCGATGAAGCTGCCGGGGCAGTTGGCAATACAAAAGACAGCGCCGGTCATCGTTCAAGTCGTGTTTTAAATTGGGTTTGCGGCAAGACTTGAAAAAAGCCAAGAAAAAAAAAAGGCTAAAAAAAGGCAGCTAAGAAAAAAATGCTTAAAAGAAATAAAAAATATATTTCCCTTCAGCAATTTTTATGGCTGCGCAAGGAGAAGACAGAAGAGGATAGCAAAGAGAGACCCATAGAGGGAGAGAGAGAGAGAGAGGGAGAGAGACGCTGGCATTGGGGTCTTGTTATGGAGCTACCCAAAAGGCTGTCCGCACGTACTAAACATCAAGCGAGAGCAGTCGAGCAGGATGCGGGGCACTGCGCGGCGTCTGTGCGGCAACTAAGTTCAAGATTTACGACCACATCGTCAGCAAGCTCATACCCATAGCCACCGCTGCTGCCCCTGCCCCTATCGCTAACCATTGCCAGCCACAGCCCCATCGCCAGTCTCCAACCTCATCGTCTCATCCTCTCATCGTCGTCATCGGTTGTTTTGCGGTTGTATAAGATCGATCCGCAGCTGCCGCTAAATGAACGCCTTTGGGGAGTTGCCAGTTGCGCGCTTTTATTAGCGAACTAACCGCAAAAAGGCACCCAAAGGAGGCAGCCAGAGATACTCAGACCGGGCCCAGCCAGGCCAGGCCAGGCCAGCCTCAGGTTTGCGTCAGCTTCAGCTTCAGCTACTTCTGCTGCGACGGCTGCAGCTTTGCCTCAAGTTGTGCGGCACAAATTGAGCTACGTTTATAATTTTGCTGGCTGTTATTTTGTTTTGATTCGCCTCGATGCGCGATAATTTGATTTTATATTCATAATACACACACACACAGGCTTCAGCTTTCTCACTATCTCTATCTCTCTCTCTCTCTCTCTCTGGTTGCGTTGGTGGCTCCATTTGTGGTTCAATTAAATTAAGTGCAGTCGCCTCTGTATTAGAGTAGGTCTTAAGAGCAGCTATGCTTCAAGAGAGGAACAACAAAGAAAAGGATGAACACACTCGAGTGTCGATCATGCCACTTAAAGCGCAGGCTGGCATTAAGGGGTACTGCAACAGTGCGGCACATCATTCAATTGGCTCACACACACACACACATGTTTTGTTTTCAATATCGATCACTGAATGGCCTGGCAATTGAAGTGCCTCTGCGGCATACTTAAGTGGACGTTGCTTTGGGGCCTCGAGAGATAGAGAGAGGGAGAGGGAGAGTGAGAAAGAGTGGAGTGAGAGAGCAAAGTAGAGAGGGAGAGGTAGAGGGGTTGGATATAGACTTTGCCAGGCAGTTCAACTGCATTAGTTAGTTATTCATAAAGTGAATATGGTATAAGAGCATGTTGTATAAGATCATATTGTATACAAAGTTCAGTATTGAAGAATTAGTTTAGAATTAGTTTAAATTCTTGCTAATTATGCCTAGAAAGAAGCTGATGTAGAGTCGCTTAGCAACATTAAATTATCATCTAATATATTGTGAATATATACTATATATTTCTATAAATATAAACTGTTAGCTTCGGTCTATTATTGCATGCTCTGCGTTATCGTTTTATCAGTTGCCGTCGATTCAAATGAATTTGAAATACGACAATACTTTGTATTTTCGCTAACACAACTTTTATTGTTGTTAACAAGGTAAATTGCAACAGGGATCTACATGCGATTAATCTCTTCTATATAAATGGGAAGGTAACAACAATCGGAATCAATTGAAAATGTTAAAACGTTCGCTGCTGTCGCTCTCTATAGTATGGATGCTGCTCTGGCTGCCTGATGATTCTGCTGGCAAGGTACTAGGACATAGATTACAGGATAACGATGCATATTATAGAACATATATACATATTAAATATTACAGCGCAATTGGGACTATGAGCCGCTGTCCACCTTAACCGAATCATCCAATGAAGATATGATCAAGTTGGAGGCCAAAGTTGAGCGAGTTGGACGTGGCGAATACGCTATATCTGCTGATTTATTCTTCAATTTTGATATGGATGAGACCACAATGGTGAGTCCCATTGGTATTGGCAAAGTGAATCAGTTTCTATATAGTTCCTGTGCAGGTTGAATCGTATGGATATCGCAGCTCATCGGGCAACGAGGAGGACTACAAGCTATTGCCGTGGAGCATACCGAAGCAAACATTTGAAAAGTTTGTCGAAGAGTATTACGAGAAGATCATCTTCAAGAATTTGCACCAATGCTCGAATATACCAGAGACAAAGGATGCATATCCCTGGCCCAAGGGCACCTACACCTTCGATAAGTGTATCGTTTCTGGCGAGGGTATGCCCGAAATAGCACCCGAGGGCTACTACAAGGTAATGTTTGAAGTTACCGGGCAATGCGACATGCGCTTCACCGCCATCGTGAAGGTGACGACCAAAACTGATATGATTGGTTAAACGATAGGATAGAGCACGCATCGTTGCTGTGGATAAATAATGTATGAATATATAAGAAATATTATTAAAATGGGATGAGGCATAATATATAATATACAGAATTCCGAGAGTTTTTAATTATTTTAAAAATGGTGTAGATAATTGGGATTATCCACAGCTTGGGATGCGTTTGAATCGCTATGAATTTTTTACCAAAAGCTACTACAAGGACAGCGCCTAGAAGAAAATGCGAAGCAACTGGTGGGAAGACAATGAAATGAATTACTAAAATATGCTTATCTTCATTTATAATCCACTAGAAAATCTATATGAATAATAAGATGGAAATATAATTGCACTATATTTAATTTTTGGATGAGAAATAAGAAACGGGCAATGGGAGGGTTTGACTAGGAGATATCCGGAGTTTTGTATACAGATTTATTAAGATCTCTTATCCCTCAAAAATATGATCCCAAAAAAACACGTTAGACGAATATGCCTAGATGGACTAAGCTCTTCGTTCTAATCTATAGTATGTATATGACTGTGACTATTAGTCACGTCTCTTCCCCTCTCATTCATTTAATGAATTCTCACATTAAAGAATTTAGAGCAGTATTATTCTGCATTATACAATCGATATTATCGATGCTCTGAGATTAATTGCACTGCTAGTTAAGTTTCTGTATCTACGACTGGTGGCCTAGCATGCAATGGCAACGACATGCTGATTCACGTTTCATAACAACTCTAATTACAAATAATGTATTGCTATATTCCATCACATAGTCAAAATGTATAAATAATGTGATTTGGATAGTGCCAAACACAAATGAATATGTCAACTCGACTGAGAGACGTGCTCGCTGCGACTTTTGTAGTGCTTTGCCTGTGGCATTGCTGTGCAGGAAAGGTAAGTGATATATATGTATAAATCAGATGACCTATTCAGAGGAGATTTCTATATATCCCTAAACAACAGCGCAACTGGGACTATGAACCCATTTCTGTACACTTTGTAACTTCGGATGCCAGCAAAATAGATGTGATTACCGAAGTCGTGCGTGTTAATCGATACGAATATGCCATATCAGGCAATTTAACAGTCACTGAAGATATGGATGAGACAGCGATGGCAAGTGCTAATTACTGCATGATTCCCCAATATTCGATATATATTTAGTATTTGCTTAGGTTGAGGCGCTTTGCTATCGTAGTAAATCAGGTGCCGAGGACGACTATTCGATTCTGCCCTTCTCCATACCAAATCAGCCTCTCGAAGATTTCGCTAAGAGCTACTACAAGGATATTATATATAAGAGTTTGAAACACTGCTCGAATGCCCCGCCACCCGAGCAGGCCTATCCGTGGCCCAAGGGTGTCGTGACATTCGATATGTGTTCGGCAACTGGCGAAGGTTTGCCTGAATATCTACCCGAAGGCTACTATAAAATCATCTTCAATGTCCGAGGAAGGGTCGAAATTGTTTACACTGGAATTGTAAAGTTGACAACCAAATTGTTTTGAATGGTTCAAAGGCGAGTAAGAATAATATGAGTTATATCTTCACATGACTCCTTATTGAAGCTGAATAAAATTGGAGAATCCTAATATTTGTTGTCGCTTTGTTAATCTTAAATAATCTGAAATAAAATCGGTTTTATTTTTTGAGTTTATATCTGAAACTATATGGAAAAGTGAATAAATATTTATATTTTTAAAGTTTTCTATATCCTTCGAAAGGTATATCCTAACAGAGCTTAGATCTGTGTATTACTTCGCCGGCGACTTGATTTAAAGTAATTGAATTCACTAAAACCTTAATTAAATGCGAATTAAATAAAAATTGTTCTACATATGAATTATAGATTTTCGATAAAAACAAACAACAGTTATTATGTAGATACTTGTAATATATAAAACAGACTTTTTAGCATGCAAAAAATATTGCATTTAACCCTATCGGATTGACTGTCATGTTTATCATGCTATTCAATCCGAAATGGTTAAATGAAATATTTTTGCATATGTTCAAAGCATGCTAATACTTTAGGATACATGTCATATGATCTTAGATCATGTCATTAAGTTGCTATATAAACCAACAATCTATGGTGCAATATAAAAGTTGAACTGGGACAGCTAAGAGAATGTATATTCAATTCATTCCTCGCTGGATTTTTGCATTATATTTGCTCTCAATGAGTTGCAAGGCAGAGGTGAGTATATGGCAATGTGAATATATAGATATATGAGGATTACAAGAGATTCTCTTCATGCAGCGCAATTGGGACTATGAGGCGCTGTTCATTACTAGCAGATCATCGGATGAATCACTAGTGAGCATCGAATCGGGAATCGAACGCAAGGGACGCGGCAGTCCCACCGTCTCGATCGTTTTAGAAGTTAACTATCAAGTAGATGATGAGACTTTGGTTGGTATAAGTTGTATTACCCAACAGGCCAGTATTTAACATGATCGATTTACACTCAGATCGAGGCGACAGTCTATCAAAGTTACACGGGTCACGACGACGACTACAAGCTGATGCCTTTTGGCATAGAAAAAAAACCATTTCCCGAGTATATCAGGGAATTTTACGACAATGTGGTCTATACCAATTTGGGTCACTGTTCGAATCTGCCAAAGCCCGGCGAACAAATTCCCTGGCCAATAATGACGTACAAGTTCGACGACTGCATTTTCTCCGGCGATGGCTTGCCCGAAATATTGTCCGAAGGCTATTACAAGATATTTTTTAATGTTACTGGTCCGGTTGACTGGAGCCTTGTGATCGGCGTTAAGATTGTCTCTAAGAGCAATGCAATGGGATATTATTGAAAATTGTTAAGACGAAATTCAGCTTCAGTGTGAAGAATAAAATTATTATATTAAGCATATTCTGATAAAAAATGTATGATCGAAGATTGAAGTTGTCTCTTTTTGAACGATCTGTAGATAAACGTCGCTTATTTAGATAAACGTCGATCACAGCTGATGCTTGATTATTTCAAGGAAAGTAAACATCAACATATATACCATATCGGATTAATCTATAGAGCAACTCATGATAGATATAGTATTTACCTAATTCTGTGTCCTTTTCGATTTCCTCTTGGATAATCCATAACATATACACATAATATATATCATGATATAATTCATTAGTACATACTGTAAAAATGCTAATTAATGTCATTAAACTGAATCAGATAAACTGCCATGTTAACTGGTTGTCGGTTATGCAATTTATGACCCGGTCAACGAGTTAACAGCTATCAACCTAATCAGTTGCTATAAAAGCTTCCAGCTTAATGTGCTTCACAGCAGAACGAAAAGTTAAGTAGACGGGGACATGGATATTCCATCAGTTCTTTCATGGATCTTTGTAATATTATGGCTCTCAACGAGCTGCAGCGGCGAGGTAACAATACATAAGCAAATATATAATCCAATTGTTATATAACATCAAACCCATTAACCTTATCATGCAGCGTAATTGGGATGCTGAGACCCTCTTTGTGAATAGCTCCACTTCGGATGAATCTCTATTGGTGTTTACGGCGGAACTTGTGCGCCAGGGTCGTGAGAAGCCTACGTTCTCAGCAGTGTTAGACTTTCATTACCAACTGGATGATACGACTACGGTTAGTTATAGAACGCATGACAGAACGTTTATCTCAGTATATTTGCTCACAGGTCGAGGTGTTAATCTATCACAGTCAAACGGGCAGCGAAGATGATTACAAGCTGATGCCGTGGAACGTGCCGCAGAAGCCATTTTCGGAATTCATAGCCGAGTACTATAAGGATTTGCTCTATGCCAATTTGGGCAGCTGTTCGAATTTGGCCGAGCCTGGCAAAGAGATTCCATGGCCTAAAATTACCTACAAGTTTGAGAAATGCCAGATAACGGGCGATGGCATGCCCGAAATAGCGCCCGAAGGATACTACAAGATATTCTTCGCCGCAACGGGCCCAGTCGACTGGAGCTTCGTTCATGCCATGAAGATTGTGTCTAAGAGCAATGCAATGGGCTATTAGCTATTGGAAAATTGACAAGTTTAAAAGACCGTTATATAAAGAGAATTCAGTGAAAAATTGAGTAGGTGTAGATTAAAATCCTCAGGGATTTTCCTTTGTAATCTATTTTTCCAAAATTATATTAAATAAATATTCCGTTGCAGATATTAACTATGTACATCGCTTTGATTATTCAATATATATAATTCCAAAATAATTAATATATTGATCTAAAAACATCGATAATTTTCGATAGCATATTTAGTTAGATTTGACAGCTATATAAGTTGTGTTTATGCCGGGTTTTATATATACTGGAATATATACCCGGAAAAACTCAAAAACTTATGATTATACAATACTTTTGTCAACTTAACGAATTGTTAATTCATGTTAATATAACAAACTATGTTAGTTTATGGGAATCTTCCCAATTTGAATCAGATTTAATTCGTTACATTGAATGAGCATGTTATAAGTATATTCGTATATGGATGCCTAAAGTCAATTAACGAATTGTCAAATAAAGAGCGGAAAGTTAGTTAGTTATACAAATAAATGTAGGTTTACATTCGAATTAGTTATAGTTTTAGATTACTATCTACAGTTCCTGACACGAAATATTGCCGACAATGAACGCAATCAGATGAATGTTATGGGCATGTTAACAGCCAAAATTGCGAGTAATGTTAATGATCTACAAAAAAAAAAAAGTACAATAATTAACGAAATCAGATGATACTTTGTAATCTATATATAGTTAGTTAGACCTTTAAGCGCGACATTAAAAATGTTCGCGAATTCAAGGCTAGTCGTATTTTGGTTCCTGCTCAAATGTTCTTTGGGTGAAGTAAGTGAAAATATATAAAAAGAAGATTAGATTACATTGTAGTCCTGTTAAAGCGCAACTGGATTTACGAACCACTCTCTGTTGAAGCGAAAACCTCGGATCCATCCAAATTAAATATTGAACCATCATTGGATCGTATTGGACGTGATTTTACAATATCAATCAATTTGGATTGGAACTACGACGTAGACGAAACGACAATGGTGAATATTTCGTTAATTATATGAAATTTCTATAGCCATATATTTTATTATATCTGTCTATCAGGTGGAAGCGTTCAGTTATCGCAGCGCTTCGGGCAACGAGAAGGATTATACCCTAATGCCATGGACCATGCCCAAACAGACATATCAACAGTATACCGAAACCTATTATCAAAATATTGTCTACAAGAATTTAGCAAACTGCTCAAATCTGCCCGAGCCTGACAACACCTACCCCTGGCCCAAGGGACAATACAAATTGGAGAAGTGTGTGGCCAATGGCGATGGATTACCCGAAATTGCACCCGAAGGATATTATAAAATAATATTTCAGGTATCCGGTGAGGTCGATTGGGAATTTGTAATGATATCAAAGTTGACAAGTAATACAAATTTGATTGGTTGAGAAGTGTGAGATGGGAGAATTATTGAGAACTATCTTATGTGTGTATATGTATATAACCACTAAGATATTAGAATAAACGCAAAAGTTGATTATGTTGATTGATGTATAGAATTACAGTAATGAATAATCAGCAGAATAGTCATTATCCATATTATCCTAGAATTTTCTCTACTTTTAATAGACTTATCTTGAGTCTTACATAAAAAACCATGGGTATTAAATCCCAGTTTCAACTGCAAATCTCATCAGATTGGCTAGTCAGGTAGATGTAATCTAATATTGAGTGCACTTTTCGGATGGATTAAACAGTGGGAAGGAAAAAACCCAGCCTTGATATAAGACCCGACTCATTAAGCATATTTTCTGTTCAACTGTGAAAGGTTTAACTGGATCTCAGCACAATAGCTGCATGTTTTGTGGGCGTAACCAAACGCCTGCTGTGCCGCATTCCAGGTGAGTTTTACTGTTGAAGGGCCGAATGTGGCAGGCAGGTAGAGAAATTAGTTTGCGCCAGCTGTTGCCAGTTGCCAGTTGTAACAGCAGCAGCAACCGCGGCAGCAACAGCAACAACAACAACAACAACAACAACAACAACAACAACTCAACGTTAGATGGAGTGTGAAATTGTCAAGACATGCTCGAAATACTTGTGGCAAAAAGTGTTAACTGTCAGGCGAGCCAAAAGCAAGCTAACGGTAAAGCTATATAATATGTACACGTATATGTTTGACTGGCTAGAGAAAAACGAAAGAAAAGTCTGACAAAAATGTCGCCGTGCAAAATGCAATTCGAATCGCATTTCAAGTGAAAACTTGGCGCAGTTGCTAACTAATTTATTGCAAATTGTTAAAGCGCTGACGAGGACCCAAGTTGCTGCTGTTGCAGCTACTATGTTGATATTGTTGCAAGTTGTTGTTGTTGCACGTTGCTGTTGCTATTGCTGTTGCTGTTGCTGTTGCTGTTGCCTGTGTTGCTGCCCGCTGGGGCTTGTCAGGCTGCTGACAGGCGCATTGGCAGTCGGCACAGCGTTTCGCGTCTGTTATTCATATGAGTGTGCATGGAAAATGCCGTTGCACTGCCATTAGAGTGGACCCAAAAACCAAACGAATAAGCAACAAAACTAGCGAAAAGCCAACGTTTGGCATTTGAATTAGTTTAGTTTTAATGAGCTGAAAATGCAGCGAACTTAACAGTTTAAGACATTTATGAATGCAGTTTGCAGAGTAACTGCAGTTGAAAAGTTTAGCTTAACTAGCTTAGCTCCGCTTAAGATTAACTTTAGTTTTTTTGCTGCATAACATTTACCAACACTGGTGTATAGCTATTCACATAATCAGTTTTTGTTTGATTGTAGCAAATTGCTAGTTCAGCTTAAATTTTTCGTTTATACATACGATCTTTTCCAGCATTCGTTACCAACACTGTTTTTTTTCGCTTCTAGCTATTTTAATATAATTTAGTCATAGCAAGGTGATGTGTATTATGGAATGGATAAATGAGGCTCTCTTTGTAGTTCTGCTCAAAGAAAATTGACTTTTCAGCCGACCTTTGCCAACACTGGCTTTGTATATTGGCTGTTCTTTTGTTTTGTAAGAACTTTTAAGCTATATTTAACAATATAATTTGTATATATTTTTAACAACAAAAAATTCTGTTTGCATCTGTGTGTTAATTTGTATGCTTAACCAACACTGGTCGCAATTAACACTCATGCTGATCGGTATCATATAATGACTAAGTCAAGCTTAACTATTTGGTACATTTTGTTGATTTATTTTAACATTTTCCGCTTTAAATAGTTGTATATATTTAGTTGTCTTACTCAACACTGTAATCAAACTTTGGTTCAGCCTAATGTGTAGCGTTTCCATTTCGACAATTTGCATGCACACGCATGTGCTGTGACTATGGCAGTTGCTGTTGCTGTTGCCGTAGCTGTTGCTTTGGCTGTTGCTGTTGCATAGCCCGAATTACCAACATGAGCGAACGAACGAACGAACATTTTACAGCGTCTGACAATATCAAATTGTTATCTGGCATAAAATAATTACAGCGCTTTAATGCAGACAAAATAGTTGCCGCTGCAGCGGCTGCCAACCAAAAACCGTATTTTTCTTCTTTTTTTTTTTTTTTTTGTATCGCCTGCCAATTTCGAGTGGCAATAAAAGCGCGTGTGCGCGAGATTTGAGCGCTTCGATAGGCAGCGGGAAAGGCAAAAGCAGCAACCACAACAACAACAACAACAACTACTACTACAGCAACAACGGCAACGGATATGTTGCCTGGTGGCAGTTGAAACTGCGCTAATTAACCAAAAACGCAGCCAATTAGTTTTTGGCCAACACCGCAAAGCAAGTTGGCTAAAGGTGTAGCTAAAGGTGCAACACGAGGTGCGCTGAATGCAAACGTGTTGGCATGTGTCAAATATATGAATGCAAAACTTGTTATGCGAGTCGAGTACGAATTAGTGTTGGCAATCTCTCTCTCTCTCTCTCTCCCTCTGTGTGTGCATGTGCGCCAGTGTTGTAGAGGTGCCGATAATTATTAGTATGTGCCATCTAATAATTGGTTAGCCAACGCAGAGCCAGCTATATTTAATAGCCAGGCGAAACTGTTAGACGATGAGCTATTATTATTACTCTTTTATTAGCATGTAAACGCAGCTAGAGCAAATATACATTAAGCTGATATTGCAGAAAAACATAATTATACCATCTAATACAGCTCGCAGAGCAAGCTTTAATTTCAGCCAGACCGACTTGTAATGCTAGTTAAATAGAGTTAGTTTGATCTGATATTTCGAGCATGACAAGGCGAGAAAAACAAAATTTGTATGTAGCGGATTATTTAAGTTGCCTTGTTTATATAAATTATTATAATTACGATTTAGTATAGTTTTAGTCTTATATAAAATCTAATATCTATTTAACAAATAGGCGTTATCAAAATAAAATTAAAATTTCTTAAGAACCTGCATAGAATCTTTATTATCTCGATAATATAACTGACTGCCCTCATATAATGATCCCTAAATATACATATATAGAGCTTTACATAAACAGCTAAAAAAATTTCAGCAGAAATGCCTTCAACTTTATATTCACTTTAACAACACTGCTCGTCAGGCAGTCAGCCGTGCAGCTGGCACTTTGCAACACTGTTGCGTATTTGCAAATAAATTCAATTTCGTACGCAAAGAGCTTTTGCATATCAGACAAGAACGATGCCGGCTAAAATAAACAATCGAGCAGAGAACACAAATACAGAGGGAGAGAGCGGGACAGCGAGAGGGCAGAGAGGAGAGAGAGAAGTATAGATTGTACGACTGCAAAGCTTGTTAAAATTCATGTAATGCATTAACTGAGAACAACAACCACAAATTACACAGTCCAACTGGCCTGGCGGGCCATCAGTCTGTCTGGCTGCAGTCGAAGACTCGGCCAGAGACAGACCAGGGACCAGAGACCAGGGAGCAGGGTATTTGGCCAAAAACCAATGTCCAAACGGTCGACGGGTTGCAATGAAAAGGCAATTAAAGCGCAGCGGGCACAAACTCAAACTCTGACTGAAAATACTAAAAAAAAAAAAAAAAAAAAAAAAGACCAGAGACCAGAGATGGAAGCCAGGCACTGACTAGTTGCAGTTGTTGTTATTGCTGCTGTTGTTGTTGTTGCTGCTGCAGCAATCAATTGCATGCTTCAATGGACAAATATACGAGAGAGCTAGCGAGGTAGAGACAGAGACAGAGACAGAGACAGAGACAGAGACAGCCAGCGAGTGCCACAGATAGACATGGCTGATATGAGCAGCCAAACGCTTCGTCGTCAACGCCGTTGTCCATGTCGGACTGTTGGGACAGACAGACGGACAGACGGACAGCCGGACAGAGAGACAGACGTATGGACAGCTACGCCTAGATGGACTCAACTAGATAAAGGCCTTGCCTTGCCTTGCCTCGGCTTGCCATTGCTTGCCATCAACAGCCAGCACCTAAGAAAATATATATATATATAAGAAAATCAACTAAGAACGAGCATGATCGACTGCTTAATACTTGCTTATCCATAGAAAATCATTCACTTTAGAGTTGATATTTCATTTTTGGAGTTATTCAAGATTGATTCGTATGCGAAACTTTTGCTATGCCAGCTCTCTACATGGAGAGCTTTGCCACACCCCCAATAGGCGTATATATAGAATGTTTTGTCTAGCCCTAGAGCATCTCTATTGTGATTCAATTGTCAATTTATTATTATCTTATTATTATTAAACTGTGAATGATATCAATTTGATCAATTTAATTAGAGACTAACGTTCGGCATTTTCTTTGTAGCCCTTTTGCCACGCCCACAACTAAAGATTGGACGTAGAATATGCCATATAAGCATACATAATCTTTATATGAGATATGTCAAGTCTATTGTCAAAGCTATATAAGCCCCGCCCTCTCACGCCCTAAACGAGTGAGAGCCCCTAATAAGGCAATGATATAATCTAGCATAGACTAGACAGTTAATCAACATTGAAACATTATTTTCAAACATTTCACTTGCAACTAATATACCCGCTTGCCACGACAGCTAGCGAGTATAATGAAAAACAGTATGCAGTTGAATTTAGCTGGGCCCAAGAGTCATGCTCTTTGGGTCTTGGGTCTTCAATCTTGCTGGTCTCCAGACTCTAGTCTATGGCGCGATTGCGATTGCCTTTTGCGCGTTTGCGTTTGCGTCTTCATTCGCTGTTCGTTTGCCGTCAAGTGGAACGGCAAAAGAAGAAGAAAAAAAAAAAAAAACAAATAATATAAGAAAGGAAAAAACTTGTTAACTTTTCCTAGCTAGAGCTAGCAAAAGGTTCGACAGCGACGGCGACGACGACGACGACGAATGGGCCACAACAGAGGCCAAAGCCGCGCCACGTTCAAGTCAATCAAGCGTCAGACGTTTGTGCTGCATGCTGAATGCGGCATGCCTCATGCCGTTGCACTCTCCGCCATTCCAAGGCGACAATTAATCAAGTGCGGACCCAGGCACAGCCACTGCAGCCACTGCAGCCACTGCTGCAGCAGCAGGCATAATCATTGCAATCAAGTCATTTTTACCTGCATTCAGAGACGTCGAGAGCACGTTTAATTGTCACTTGACAGCAATTA